TAACATTTTTGAAGATTGCTTTTTTCTGGATTTTTTTGTTATTCTGTCTCACTGTTCAAATAAACCTACCATTAAAATTATAGACTGATCATTTCTTTGTCAGTGGGCAAACGTACAAAATCAGCAGGGGTTCAAATACTTTTTTCCCTCACTGTAGTAGTGTAGTGTATAGTTTAGTGTAAAGTAGTATATAGTGTAGTGTATAGTGTAGTGTATAGTAGTGTATAGTGTAGTGTATAGTGTGTAGTGTATAGTGTAGTGTATAGTGTAGTGTAAAGTAGTGTATAGTGTAGTGTATAGTGTAGTGTATAGTGTAGTGTATAGTGTAGTGTAAAGTAGTGTATAGTGTAATGTATAGTGTAGTGTATAGTAGTGTATAGTGTAGTGTATAGTAGTGTAGAGTATAGTGTAGTGTATAGTATAGTAGTGTATAGTGTAGTGTATAGTAGTGTACTGTATAGTGTATAGTAGTGTGTAGTGTATAGTGTATAATAGTGTAGTGTATAGTAGTGTATAGTGTAGTGTATAGTAGTGTAGTGTATAGCGTAGTGTATAGTATAGTGTATAGTGTAGTGTATATAGTGTAGTGTATAGTGGTGTAGTGTATAGTAGTGTAGTGTATGGTGTAGTGTATATAGTGTAGTGTATATAGTGTAGCGTATAGTGTAGTGTATAGTGTAGTGTATAGTGGTGTAGTGTATAGTGTAGTGTATAGTGTAGTGTATAGTGGTGTAGTGTATAGTGTAGTGTATAGTGGTGTAGTGTATAGTGTAGTGTATTGTATATAGTGTAGTGTATATAGTGTAGTGTATAGTGGTGTAGTGTATAGTAGTGTAGTGTATATAGTGTAGTGTATAAAGTGTAGTGTATAGTGTAGCGTATAGTGGTGTAGTGTATAGTGTAGTGTATAGTTTAGTGTATAGTGTAGTGTATAGTGTAGTGTATAGTAGTGTAGTATAGTAGTGTAGTGTATAGTAGTGTAGTGTATCGTGTAGTGTAGTGTATAGTGTAGTATATAGTAGTGTGTATAGTAGTGTATAGTAGTGTAGTGTATAGTAGTGTAGTGTATAGTAGTGTAGTGTATAGTAGTATAGTATAGTAGTGTATAGTAGTGTATAGTAGTGTAGTATAGTAGTGTAGTGTATAGTAGTGTAGTGTATAGTGTAGTGTATAGTAGTGTAGTGTATAGCAGTGTAGTATATAGTAGTGTAGTGTATAGTAGTGTAGTGTATAGTGTAGTGTATAGTGTAGTATATAGTAGTGTGTATAGTAGTGTAGTGTATAGTAGTGTAGTATAGTAGTGTATAGTGTAGTGTATAGTAGTGTAGTGTATCGTGTAGTGTATTGTGTAGTGTATAGTGTAGTGTATAGTAGTGTAGTGTATAGTGTAGTGTATAGTAGTGTAGTGTATAGTAGTGTATAGTGGTGTAGTGTATAGTAGTGTAGTGTATAGTAGTGTAGTATAGTAGTGTATAGTAGTGCAGTATAGTAGTGTAGTGTATAGTAGTGTATAGTACTGTAGTGTGTATAGTAGTGTAGTATAGTAGTGTAGTGTATAGTAGTGTAGTATAGTAGTGTAGTGTATAGTAGTGTAGTGTATCGTGTAGTGTATAGTAGTGTAGTGTATAGTGTAGTGTATAGTGTAATATATAGTAGTGTGTATAGTAGTGTAGTGTATAGTAGTGTAGTGTATAGTAGTGTAGTGTATAGTGTAGTGTATAGTAGTGTATAGTAGTGTAGTGTATAGTAGTGTAGTGTATAGTAGTGTAGTGTATAGTGTAGTGTATAGTAGTGTATAGTAGTGTAGTGTATAGTAGTGTAGTGTATAGTAGTGTAGTGTATAGTGTAGTGTATAGTAGTGTATAGTAGTGTAGTGTATAGTAGTGTAGTGTATAGTGTAGTATAGTAGTGTAGTATAGTAGTGTAGTGTATAGTAGTGTAGTAGTGTATAGTGTAGTGTATAGTGTAGTGTATAGTAGTGTAGTGTATAGTAGTGTAGTGTATAGTAGTGTAGTGTATAGTAGTGTATAGTGTATAGTAGTGTAGTGTATAGTTGTGTAGTATAGTAGTGTAGTGTATAGTAGTGTAGTATAGTAGTGTATAGTGTAGTGTATAGTAGTGTATAGTGTAGTGTATAGTAGTGTAGTGTATAGTAGTGTAGTGTATAGTAGTGTATAGTAGTATAGTAGTGTATAGTAGTATAGTAGTGTAGTATAGTAGTGTAGTATAGTAGTATAGTAGTGTAGTATAGTAGTGTAGTGTATTGTAGTATAGTAGTGTAGTATAGTAGTGTAGTATAGTAGTATAGTAGTGTAGTGTATAGTAGTATAGTAGTGTATAGTGTAGTGTATAGTGTAGTATAGTAGTGTATAGTAGTGTAGTGTATAGTGTAGTGTATAGTGTAGTATAGTAGTGTAGTGTATAGTAGTGTAGTATAGTAGTGTAGTATAGTAGTGTATAGTGTAGTGTATAGTGTAGTGTATAGTGTAGTGTATAGTGTAGTATAGTAGTGTAGTGTATAGTAGTATAGTAGTGTAGTAGTGTATAGTAGTATAGTAGTCTAGTAGTGTATAGTATAGTAGTATAGTATATAGTAGTGCATAGTATAGTAGTATAGTAGTGTATAGTAGAGTATAGTAGTGTAGTATAGTAGTGTATAGTAGTATATTAGTGTATAGTAGTATAGTAGTGTATAGTAGTATAGTAGTGTATAGTAGTATAGTAGAGTATAGTAGTGTAGTAGTGTATAGTGTATAGTAGAGTATAGTAATGTAGTGTAGTAGTGTATAGTATAGTAGTGTATAGTGTATAGTAGTGTATAGTAGTGTAGTAGTGTATAGTAGTGTATAGTATAGTAGTATAGTATATAGTAGTGCATAGTAGTATAGTAGTGTATAGTAGAGTATAGTAGTGTATAGTAGAGTATAGTAGTGTATAGTAGAGTATAGTATAGTAGTGTATAGTGTAGAGTATAGTAGTGTAATAGTGTATAGTAGTATAGTAGTGTATAGTAGTGTAGTGTATAGTAGTATAGTATAGTAGTATATAGTAGTGTAGTATAGTAGTGTATAGTAGTATAGTAGTGTATAGTGGTATAGTAGTGTATAGTGGTATAGTAGTGTATAGTATTGTAGTATAGTAGTGTATAGTATAGTGTAGTTGTGTATAGCATAGTAGTGTAGTAGTATAGTAGTGTATAGTATAGTGTAGTAGTATAATAGTGTATAGTATAGTGTAGTAGTATAGTAGTATAGTAGTGTATAGTAGTGTAGTATAGTAGTGTATAGTGTATAGTAGTGTTATAGTATAGTGTATAGTGTAGAGTATAGTAGTATATAGTAGTGGTATAGTATAGTGTATAGTAGTGTAGTGTATAGTAGTATATAGTATAGTAGTGTAGTAGTGGTGTATAGTAGTGTATAGTAGTATAGTAGGGTAGTAATGTATAGTGTAGTGGTGTATAGTAGTATAGTATATAGTAGTGTATAGTAGTATAGTATATAGTAGTGTATAGTAGTAGTATAGTAGTGTATAGTGTAGTGGTGTATAGTGTAGAGTATAGTAGTATATAGTAGTGGTATAGTATAGTGTATAGTAGTGTAGTATAGTAGTAGTGTATAGTAGTAGTGTATAGTAGTGTAGTGTATAGTAGTGTATAGTAATGTATAGTATAGTAGTATAGTAGTGTATAGTAGTATATAGTAATGTATAGTGTAGTAGTGGTGTATAGTGTATAGTAGTGTAGTATAGTAGTAGTGTATAGTAGTGTAGTGTATAGTAGTGTAGTAGTGGTATAGTATAGTGTAGTGGTGTATAGTAGTGTAGTGTATAGTGTAGTGGTGTATAGTGTAGTGGTGTATAGTAGTATAGTAGTAGTGTATAGTAGTGTAGTGTATAGTAGTATATAGTAGTGTATAGTAGTATAGTAGTGTATAGTAGTATAGTATATAGTAGTGTATAGTGTATAGTAGTGTATAGTGTAGTAGTGTATAGTGTATAGTAGGGTAGTAATGTATAGTGTAGTGGTGTATAGTAGTGTATAGTAGGGTAGTAGTGTATAGTGTAGTAGTGGTGTATAGTGTATAGTAGTGTATAGTGTAGTGGTGTATAGTAGTATAGTAGTATAGTAGGGTAGTATAGTGTATAGTGGTGTAGTAGTGGTGTATAGTATAGTAGTGTATAGTATAGTAGTATAGTGGTGTATAGTAGTATAGTAGTAGTGTATATAGTAGTATAGTAGTGTATAGTAGTATAGTAGTGTAGTGTATAGTAGTATAGTAGTGTATAGTAGTGTAGTAATGTATAGTAGTATAGTATAGTAGTATAGTAGTGTATAGTGTATAGTACTGTAGTAATGTATAGTATAGTAGTGTATAGTAGTGTAGTAGTGGTGTATAGTGTATAGTAGTGTATAGTGTAGTAGTGGTGTATAGTAGTGTAGTAGTGGTGTATAGTGTATAGTAATGTATAGTGTATAGTAGTGTAGTAGTGGTGTATAGTAGTATAGTAGTGGTGTATAGTAGTGTATAGTAGTGTAGTAGTGGTGTATAGTAGTATATAGTAATGTATAGTATAGTAGTGTATAGTGTATAGTAGTGTATAGTGTATAGTGGTGTATAGTGTAGTAGTGGTGTACGGGATGAACGTTGAGATTTGTAAGAGCACGGGGTGAGCAATGCGGTGTGAAGTGGTCGGGCTCTGATTCGGCGTTGACGAGTTTGTGATGGTTCAATGGTTGTCTATTTGTGTCTGAGTAGCTCTCTCTCCCCCCCCACCTCTACTGGACATCTGCGACACGCAAAGAGCTTCATAGCTCTTCGGATTCCCGCTGCGTTGCGAGGCCTGCAGATTCCCAGATTCTGTGATCGCTGAAAGAATCGATCCGTTAAGATAAATCGGCACAGAGAGAATCGAGCCGATAATAAAATCGAATCGGCACAGCCGAAACGTGCACGAGAATTGATTTTTTCTTTACAGGAAACGATACAGACATTGAATGAATCGAGAGTCGATACAGCTCCGGTGCGAATCGAGAATCGGTACGGCGAATGTGGGAATCGTTAATCGATTCCTCAGTGGAGGTGCCGCCGAATTTGAACGCGTTTGGCGGTAAGCGGAGAGCGATGTAGAAAATAGTTAGTGAGGTAGTTAGTGAGGTAGTTAGTGAGGTATTTAATGAGGTAGTGAGGTAGTGAGGTAGTTAGTGAGGTAGTTAGTGAGGTAGTGAGGTATTTAGTGAGGTAGTTAGTGAGGTAGTTAGTGAGGTAGTGAAGTAGTGAGTGAGGTAGTTAGTGAGGTAGTGAGGTAGTTAGTGAGGTGGTGAGGTAGTGAGTGAGGTAGTTAGTGAGGTAGTTAGTGAGGTAGTGAGTGAGGTAGTTAGTGAGGTAGGTAGTGTGGTAGTGAGGTAGTTAGTGAGGTAGTTAGTGAGGTAGTGAGGTATTTAGTGAGGTAGTTAGTGAGGTAGGTAGTGTGGTAGTGAGGTAGTTAGTGAGGTAGTTAGTGAGGTAGTTAGTGAGGTATTTAGTGAGGTAGTGAGTGAGGTAGTGAAGTAGTGAGGTAGTTAGTGAGGTAGTTAATGAGGTAGTTAGTGAGGTAGTTAGTGAGGTATTTAGTGAGGTGGTGAGGTAGTTAGTGAGGTAGTTAGTGAGGTAGTTAGTGAGGTAGTGAGGTAGTTAGTGAGGTAGTTAGTGAGGTAGTGAGGTAGTGAAGTAGTGAGGTAGTTAGTGAGGTAGTTAGTGAGGTAGTGAGGTAGTTAGTGAGGTAGTTAGTGAGGTAGTTAATGAGGTAGTGAGGTAGTTAGTGAGGTAGTTAGTGAGGTAGTTAGTGAGGTAGTGAAGTAGTGAGGTAGTTAGTGAGGTAGTTAGTGAGGTAGTTAGTGAGGTAGTGAGGTAGTTAGTGAAGTAGTGAGGTATTTGGTGAGGTAGTTAGTGAGGTAGTTAGTGAGGTAGTTAGTGAGGTAGTTAGTGAGGTAGTTAGTGAGGTAGTTAGTGAGGTAGTTAGTGAGGTAGTTAGTGAGGTAGTGAGGTAGTTAGTGAGGTAGTGAGGTAGTTAGTGAGGTAGTTAGTGAGGTAGTCAGGTAGTGAAGTAGTGAGGTAGTTAGTGAGGTAGTTATTGAGGTAGTTAGTGAGGTAGTGAGGTAGTTAGTGAGGTAGTTAGTGAGGTAGTTAGTGAGGTAGTGAGGTAGTTAGTGAGGTAGTTAGTGAGGTAGTTAGTGAGGTAGTTAGTGAGGTAGTTAGTGAGGTAGGTAGTGAGGTAGTTAGTGAGGTAGTGAGGTATTTAGTGAGGTAGTTAGTGAGGTAGGTAGTGAGGTAGTTAGTGAGGTAGTTAGTGAGGTAGTGAGGTAGTTAGTGAGGTAGTTAGTGTGGTAGTTAGTGAGGTATTTAGTGAGGTAGGTAGTGAGGTAGTTAGTGAGGTATTTAATGAGGTAGTGAGGTAGTTAGTGAGGTAGTTAGTGAGGTAGTTAGTGAGGTAGTTAGTGAGGCAGTTAGTGAGGTAGTTAGTGAGGTAGTTAGTGAGGTAGTGAGGTAGTTAGTGAAGTAGTGAGGTAGTTAGTGAGGTAGTTAGTGAGGCAGTTAGTGAGGTAGTTAGTGAGTTAGTGAGGCAGTTAGTGAGGTAGTTAGTGAGGTAGTTAGTGAGGCAGTTAGTGAGGTAGTTAGTGAGGTAGTGAGGTAGTTAGTGAGGCAGTTAGTGAGGTAGTGAGGTAGTTAGTGATAAGTGAGATATTTAGTGAACTAGCGAGCTGGTTAGTGAGATGGTGAGCTAGTTAGCTAGCGGGTTAGCTAGCTAGTTAATGAGCTAGTTGGCTAGCTAGCTGGGATAGCTAGCTAGTTAGTGAGCTAGTTAGAGAGCTAGCTAGGATAGCTAGCTAGTTATCAAGTTAGGTAATGAGCTAGTTAGCGAGCTAGTTAGCGAGCTAGTTATCGAGTTAGGTAATGAGCTAGTTAGCTAGCTAGTTAGCGAGCTCGTTAGCGAGCTAGTTTTCAAGTTAGTTAATGAGCTAGTTAGCTAGTTAATGAGCTAGTTAGCGAGCTAGTTATCGAGTTAGTTAATGAGCTAGTTAGCTAGCTAGTTATCGAGTTAGTTAATGACCTAGTTAGCGAGATAGTTAGCGAGCTAACTAGGATTGCTAACTAGTTATTGAGCTAGTTATTGAGCTAGTTAGCGAGTTGGTTAGCGAGTTAGCGAGCTAGCTAGGATAGCTAGATAGTTAGCGAGCTAGTTAGCGAGCTAGTTATTGAGCTAGTTAGCGAGCTAGTTATTGAGCTAGTTAGCGAGTTGGTTAGCGAGCTAGTTATTGAGCTAGTTAGCGAGCTAGTTAGAGAGTTGGTTAGTGATCTTGTTAGCTAGTTAGCGAGCTAGTTAGCGAGCTAGTTAGCGAGTTGGTTAGCGAGTCGCGCAACGTCGTGAAGCTTACGCAGCTTTGTGTATAAGTTTTGAACGGTTTAGACGCGGATACGACAGGCCTCGTGACGTGCGGTCAGTCACGTCTCTGTCTCTCTGTGTCTCTGTCTGTGTCTCTCTGTCTGTGTCTCTCTGTGTCTCTCTGTCTGTGTCTCTCTGTGTCTCTCTGTCTGTCTGTGTCTCTCTGTGTCTCTGTCTGTGTCTCTCTGTCTATTTCTGTCTGTGTCTCGCTGTCTCTGTCTCTCTGTGTCTCTATCTGTCTCTCTGTCTGTGTCTCTCTGTGTCTCTCTGTCTGTCTGTGTCTCTCTGTCTGTGTCTCTCTGTGTCTCTCTGTCTGTGTCTCTCTGTCTGTGTCTCTCTGTGTCTCTCTGTCTGTCTGTGTCTCTCTGTCTGTGTCTCTCTGTCTGTGTCTCTCTGTCTGTCTGTGTCTCTCTGTCTGTGTCTCTCTCTCTGTGTCTCTCTGTCTGTGTCTCTCTGTGTCTCTGTCTGTGTCTCTCTGTCTGTGTCTCTCTGTCTGTGTCTCTCTGTCTGTCTGTGTCTCTCTGTCTGTGTCTCTCTGTCTGTGTCTCTCTGTGTCTCTGTCTGTGTCTCTCTGTCTGTCTGTGTATCTCTGTCTGTGTCTCTCTGTGTCTCTGTCTGTGTCTCTCTCTGTGTCTCTCTGTCTGTGTCTCTCTGTCTGTCTGTGTCTCTCTGTGTCTCTGTCTGTCTGTGTATCTCTGTCTGTGTCTCTCTGTGTCTCTGTCTCTCTGTCTGTCTCTCTCTCTGTCTGTGTCTCTCTGTGTCTCTCTGTCTCTCTGTGTCTCTGTCTGTCTTTGTCTCGCTGTCTCTGTCTGTGTCTCTCTGTGTCTCTGTCTGTGTCTCTCTGTCTGTCTGTGTCTCTCTGTCTGTCTGTGTCTCTCTGTGTCTCTGTCTGTGTCTCTCTCTGTCTGTGTCTGTCTGTCTGTGTCTCTCTGTGTGTGTCTCTCTGTGTCTCTCTGTCTGTGTCTCGCTGTCTCTGTGTCTCTCTCTGTCTGTCTGTGTCTCTCTCTGTCTATGTCTCTCTGTCTGTGTCTCTCTGTGTCTCTCTGTCTGTCTGTGTCTCGCTGTCTCTGTCTCTCTGTGTCTCTCTCTGTCTGTCTGTGTCTCTCTGTCTGTCTGTGTCTCTCTGTCTGTGTTTCTCTGTGTCTCTCTGTTTGTCTGTGTCTCGCTGTCTCTGTGTCTCTCTCTGTCTGTCTGTGTCTCTCTGTCTGTGTCTCTCTCTGTCTATGTCTCTCTGTCTGTGTCTCTCTGTGTCTCTCTGTCTGTCTGTGTCTCGCTGTCTGTGTCTTGCTGTCTCTGTCTCTCTGTGTCTCTCTCTGTCTGTCTGTGTCTCGCTGTCTCTCTGTCTGTCTGTGTCTCGCTGTCTCTGTCTCTCTGTGTCTCTGTCTGTGTCTCTCTGTCTGTCTGTGTCTCGCTGTCTCTGTCTCTCTGTGTCTCTGTCTGTGTCTCTCTGTCTGTCTGTGTCTCTCTGTCGGTGTCTCTCTCTATGTCTCTCTGTCTGTCTGTCTGTGTCTCGCTGTCTCTGTCTCTCTGTGTTTCTCTCTGTCTGTCTGTGTCTCTCTGTCTCTCTGTGTCTCTGTCTCTCTGTGTCTCTCTGTCTCGCTGTCTCTGTCTGTCTGTGTCTCTGTCTGTCTGTGTCTCGCTGTCTCTGTCTCTCTGTGTCTCTGTCTGTGTCTCTCTGTGTCTCTGTCTGTGTCTCTCTGTCTGTGTCTCTCTGTGTCTCTTTGTCTGTCTGTGTCTCTCTGTCTTTGTCTCTCTGTATCTCTGTCTGTGTCTCTCTGTCTGTCTCTCTGTCTGTGTCTCTCTGTGTCTCTCTGTCTGTCTGTGTCTCGCTGTCTCTGTCTCTCTGTGTCTCTGTCTCTCTGTGTCTGTCTGTGTCTCGCTGTCTCTGTCTGTCTGTGTCTCTGTCTGTCTGTGTCTCTCTGTCTGTGTCTCTCTCTGTCTGTGTCTCTCTGTCTGTGTCTCTCTGTCTGTCTGTGTCTTTCGGTCTGTGTCTCTCTGTGTCTCTCTGTCTGTGTCTCGCTGTCTCTGTCTCTCTGTGTCTCTCTCTGTCTGTGTCTCTGTCTGTCTGTGTCTCTCTGTCTGTGTCTCTCTGTGTCTCTCTGTGTCTCGCTGTCTCTGTCTCTCTGTGTCTCTCTCTGCCTGTCTGTGTCTCTCTGTGTGTGTCTCGCTGTCTCTGTCTCTCTGTGTCTCTGTCTGTGTCTCTCTGTCTGTGTCTCTCTGTCTGTGTCTCTCTGTCTGTCTGTGTCTCGCTGTCTCTGTCTCTCTGTGTCTCTCTCTGTCTGTCTGTGTCTCTCTGTCTGTGTCTCTCTGTCTGTGTCTCTGTCTGTGTCTGTCTGTGTCTGTCTGTGTCTCTCTGTCTGTGTCTCGCTGTCTCTCTGTGTCTCTCTCTGTCTGTCTGTGTCTCTGTCTGTGTCTCTCTGTCTGTGTCTTTGTGTCTCTCTCTGTCTCTCTTTGTCTCTCTGTCTGTGTCTCGCTGTCTCTGTCTCTCTATCTCTCTCTGTCTGTCTCTCTGTCTGTGTCTCTTTGTGTCTCTCTTGTGTCTCGCTGTCTCTGTCTCTCTGTGTCTCTTTCTGTCTGTCTGTCTCTCTCTGTGTCTCTCTGTCTGTGTCTCGCTGTCTTTGTCTCTCTGTGTCTCTCTCTGCCTGTCTGTGTCTCTCTGTGTGTGTCTCGCTGTCTCTCTGTCTCTCTGTGTCTCTGTCTGTGTCTCTGTCTGTCTGTGTCTCGCTGTCTCTGTCTCTCTGTGTCTCTCTCTGTCTGTCTGTCTGTCTGTGTCTCTCTGTGTCTCTCTGTCTGTGTCTCTCTGTCTGTGTCTCTCTCTCTCTGTCTCTCTGTGTCTCTCTGTCTGTGTCTCTCTGTCTGTGTCTCTCTCTCTGTCTGTGTGTCTCTGTGTCTCTCTGTCTGTCTGTGTCTCGCTGTCTCTCTCTCTCTGTCTGTGTCTCTCTGTCTGTGTGTCTCTCTGTCTGTGTCTCTCTCTCTGTCTGTGTGTCTCTGTGTCTCTCTGTCTGTCTGTGTCTCGCTGTCTCTCTCTCTCTGTCTGTGTCTCTCTGTCTGTGTCTCTCTCTCTCTGTCTCTCTGTGTCTCTCTGTCTGTGTCTCTCTGTCTGTGTCTCTCTCTCTGTCTGTGTGTCTCTGTGTCTCTCTGTCTGTCTGTGTCTCGCTGTCTCTCTCTCTCTGTCTGTGTCTCTCTGTCTGTGTGTCTCTCTGTCTGTGTCTCTCTCTGTCTGTCTCTGTCTGTCTCTCTCTGTGTCTCTCTGTTTCTTTCTGTCTTTCTGTTTCTCTATCTCTCTCTGTCTGTTTCTGTCTGTCTGTGTCTCGCTGTCTCTCTGTGTATCTTTCACTCTCTATGTGTCTCTCTCTCTGTGTTTCTCTCTCTGTGTGTCTCTCTCTGTCTCTCTCTGTGTCCGTTGTCTCTCTCTGTCTCTCTGTGCCTCTGTCTTTGTCTGCCTCTGTCTCTCTGTGTCTCTGTCTCTCTCTGTCTCTCTGTGTGTCTCTCTCTCTCTGTGTCTCTCTGTGTCCGCTGTCTCTCTCTCTGTCTCTCTCTGTCTCTCTGTGCCTCTGTCTCTGTCTACCTCTGTCTCTCTGTCTCTCTGTCTGTTTCTCGCTGTCTCCCTGTGTCTCTGTCTCTCTCTCTCTGTCTCTCTCCGTGTCCGCTGTCTCTGTCTCTGTCTGCCTCTATCTCTCTGTCTCTATCTCTGTCTGTCTGCCGTTCTCTGTCTCTCTCTGCCTCTCGTGGCCGTCAGGTTCATGATGGCCACGTCACATTCGTAGTGACCGTCAGGCATCGCCAGAGGTCGGGATCGAACCCACGACCTCCTGTACACCAGGCGAGGTAGTTAACATCTCCTAGCCGCCGTGGCACCCACGCAGCCGACGGCGATTCGGTTCGCGATGGCGCTGCCATCCGCGCCCTCTTTGCCCTCCCAGGTCACGCCCGGGAGGTGCAAACGATGACGACGCCGGGGAGATGCGCCGCACGCCACTCCCGGCTGCGCAGACGCCTGGCCCAGCTGGGCTACGACCAGCACCTGGGCGAGGAGAGCCTGCGGCTGGCGGAGTGCCTCTTCAGGTACCACCTCGCCCGCCCGCCCGCCCGCCCGCCCGCTCGCTCGCCCGCTCGTCCGCTCGCTCGTCCGCTCGCCCCGTCACGCCACGACGATCTTTTTGGAGCGCTCCGTCGGTTCGGTGACGTTGCACTTCCGATATCCCCTCGCCCGCCGCAGGTGTCGGGAACAGCGGCTGTTGGAGCAGAAGGGGGTTGCGTGCGGATGCTCGGGTTCGCCCACCCGTTCGGGACTTGCACTCCAACCTGTGGTTTTTCATTTGGGCTTGCGCACAGGAGCATCGACTCCTAAGGGAATCGATAGACTCGTAGACGCACGCAGGCACGGCATGCAGACCCTAAGTCTCATCCTCCGGTCTCCACGCCTTTGTGTCTCTGTCTCCATATGCGTGCCTCCGTGTCTGTGTATGTGTCTTCGTGTCCGTGTGTCTCTGTTCTTCGTGCTTTTGGAGTGATGATGGATATCCTCTTTGTGCTTTCGGAGTCAGTCACTCTCTGCTCACGATCATTAGGGACCTTCATGATGGTGAGCAGGCCCAGGTAAAAATATGAGGCCGGGAGTCAGAGCCATTCCCTGTTCAGCTTGGGGTTGTGACAGAGTTCTACTCTGGCTCCCACATTATTTAACATCCATTTTGACCACGTAATTCGTTGAAGCCTTCGATGGCTGTACCGGAGGAATTTCCATCTGGTACAGATGCAATGGGAGGCTGATTGATGCCTGGGTGCGGTCAAGGGATGGCTCCCTATTGCTCAACCACGTTATGTATGCCGATGATTTGGTAATAGATGCTCTTTCAGAGGAGGAGTTGGAGACGCTGCTGCTGAGACTGGAGCGTGCCACTAAGAGGTGGGGCCTTACCATCAGCCCCACCAAAACTAAGCACCTGCCTGGGTATTTTGTACCATCGGACACTCCACCCCCACAACTCCCAATCGGTGATGGGGCAGTTGTGGAGAGAGTGGAGAGTTTCTCATACCTGGGCAGTGTGCTCATGACCGGCTCCAGTTTGACAGCAGAGGTCTCACTCTGAATCAGTCGAGTGGCATCTTTTCAGCTACCTGGCCTGTTGCTCCACATGAAGGTTTGGGTCTTCTCGGCCATGGTCATGCCCTCTCTTAATGCTTACGAAACGTGGACCCCCCTAATGTAAAATCTTCACCGGTTAGAAGCATGCAGGCTGGCCTGCCTACGATCCATCCAGGGTTTAACCAGGCTGGATTGTGTGAGGAGCTCACAAATCTTTGAAAGATCTAAACAAAGTCCCATCAGTGAGCTCCTCCGGCAGGCAAGGCTGCGTTGGCTGGGTCATGTAGCCCACATGCCCAGCCACCGCATGCCTAAACAGTTTTTGTTCTGCTGGATCGAGGGGGCTAAACGGGCGCGGCACGGGCTAGAGAAGAGATGGAGTGACGTGGTACAGGAGGACGTGGAGCTGAGTGGACTTGCTGATGACTGGTACCAGCGGTGTCAAGATCGGCCTCTGTGGAGGGCAGAGGAGCGACGCTCACAACAACGAGCGGAGTGCCGGGTGGCTAAAGCACGGCAAGTTTGCACAGTAGGGGGCACAGGTGGTGCATCAGCCAGTCGTCTCAGTCATCTCAGTCAGTCGACCCGTGGCACCTGCTGGGTCTGCCCCGTGACCTCCTGCCAGCGGGCGTTCGACACTTCACGTGGCCTCAAGGTGCACATAGCCCGGTACAAGCGTCGTGGTGACGTCACCGCCACTTAGTGGTGAATGGCGCTGGTTGTTGTTGTTGTTGTGTCTGTCCATGGCTCCGTGTCTCTGTGTGTGTGTCTCTTTATCTCTCACTGTCTCTCGGTCTCTCTGTGCCTCCTCGTCCCTGCGTCTCTACATCGCCCGTCTGTCTCTCTGAGTTTATCTCTGGGTCTCCGTGCCTCCATCTGCCCCCTCTCGGTATGTCTCCGTGTCTCTCCGTTTGTCTCCGTGTGTCTCCGTGTCTCTCCGTGTGTCTCCGTGTGTCTCCGTGTGTCTCTGTGTGTCTCTCCGTGTCTCTCCGTGTCTCTCCGTGTGTCTCCGTGTGTCTCTCCGTGTGTCTCTCCGTGTCTCTCCGTGTGTCTCCGTGTCTCTCCGTGTGTCTCTCCGTGTGTCTCCGTGTGTCTCTCCATGTGTCTCTCCGTGTCTCTCCGTGTGTCTCCGTGTCTCTCCGTGTGTCTCTCCGCATGTCTCTCCGTGTGTCTCCGTGTGTCTCTGTGTGTCTTTCCGCATGTCTCTCCGTGTCTCTCCACGTGTCTCCGTGTGTCTCTCCGTGTGTCTCCGTGTGTCTCTCCGTGTGTCTCTCCGTGTCTCTCCACGTGTCTCCGTGTGTCTCTCCGCGTGTCTCTCTGTGTGTCTCTCCGTGTGTCTCTCCACGTGTCTCTCCGTGTGTCTCCGCATGTCTCTCCGCGTGTCTCTCCACGTGTCTCTCTGTGTCTCTCCGTGTGCCTCTCCGCGTGTCTCTCTGTGTCTCTCCGTGTGTCTCTCCGTGTGTCTCTCCGCGTGTCTCTCTGTGTCTCTCCGTGTGTCTCTCCACGTGTCTTTCTGTCTGTCTCTCCGCGTGTCTCTCCACGTGTCTCTCCGCGTGTCTCTCCGCGTGTCTCTCCGCGTGTCTCTCCGCGTGTCTCTCCACGTGTCTCTCCGCGTGTGTCCGTGTGCCTCCGCGCGTGCCGCAGGGATCTCGTGCGCACCACGGAGGCGCTGGGAGCGGAGCGCGAAGCGGCGCGCCTCGCTGAGGAGCAGCTGCAGCGCGAGAGGGAGCAGCGCGAGAGGGAGGACGACGACGAGGTGGCGGAGGAGGTGGAGCGGGAGATGAACGTGCGGAGGGCCACCTCCGATCGGCATCACAAAGGTTCGCGGGAGCCCATTCCCAACCTTGGCAGCCGCGTGACCCTGCGTCTGGTCCACGTTGAAGGTGGCCCTGGTCGTAGCTGGGATCCGTCCCGAGGTCGGTCTGCTCAGGGCAGACTCCTGCTGCAGGGAATTTCATTACGAAAAGAACGAGCATGGGTTTGTTAAGCTTTGCAGCAATAAAACAGCAGGAGTTAGCTGTGTTAAGATGTTCAAACAGCAAAGGGATTCAACCTTTCGCAAGGATTCATCTGCTTGGTTCTTTCGCTAATGTTCACGTAGAAGGGAAATAATAAAATAATAAACAGTAAAATTACATTTCGATTTAAAGCTTTCGTGACTGCAAGGATTCATCTTCTTTGGTTCTTTCGGTAAAGTCACCACCACGTAGAATGAGAATGAAATAATAAATTGATAAAATAAAATAACACAATAAAATTCTCACGACGTTTCGGCCACAACACAAGCGGCCTTCATCAGGTGAAGGGACGAGACTGTCTGGTAGGACAGCGCTGGAGTGGAAGAAGCCACGCTCAGATCACGACCTTTAAGCTGTGTGAGAAGAAACAAAGCGCCTTTACAAAGGAATTAGCATAGAATTTAGTATTGAAACAGCAAATTCTATGCTAATTCCTTTGTCAAGGTGCTTTGTTTCCTCTCACACAGCTTAAAAGCCGTGATCTGAACGTGGCTCTTTCGCTCCAGCGCTGTCCTACCAGACAGTCTCGTCCCTTCACCTGATGAAGGCCGCTTGTGTTGTGGCCGAAACGTCGTGAGAATTTTATTGTGTTATTTTATTTTATCAATTTATTATTTTATTCTCATTCTACGTGGTGGTGACTTTACCGAAAGAATCAAAGAAAATAAAATAAAATTCTCACGACGTTTCGGCCACAATGCAAGCAGCCATCCGGCTGAGAATTTTATTTTATTTTGTATTATTTTATTGTTTCCCCTTCTGCGTGAACTTGACCGAAAGAACCAAAGAAGATGAATCCCTGCAGTCACGAAAGCTTTAAATCGAAACTTCCGCAAGGAATCATGGTTACTGCATTGACCACACACAGTGCTTGAGGTGAATATGCAAACAAACATGGCTCTGATGATGTTTGATGCATTGTCTTTGAAGCTGATTGGCCTACATTAGAGCCAGTAGCAGACTTCTTCATGGCCTAGTCTGACCACCAGTGTCTCACTACCAGTGTCTCACCACAAGTGTCTCACCAGCAGTGTCTCACCACCAGTGTCTCACCACCAGTGTCTCACCACCAGTGTCTCACCACAAGTGTCTCACCAGCAGTGTCTCACCACCAGTGTCTCACCACCAGTGTCTCACCACCAGTGTCTCACCACAAGTGTCTCACCACAAGTGTCTCACCACCAGTGTCTCACCACCAGTGTCTCACCACCAGTGTCTCACCAGCAGTGTCTCACCACAAGTGTCTCACCACCAGTGTCTCACCACCAGTGTCTCACCACCAGTGTCTCACCACCAGTGTCTCACCACCAGTGTCTCACCACCAGTGTCTCACCACCAGTGTCTCACCACCAGTGTCTCACCAGCAGTGTCTCACCACCAGTGTCTCACCACCAGTGTCTCACCACCAGTGTCTCACCAGCAGTGTCTCACCACCAGTGTCTCTCCACCAGTGTCTCACCACCAGTGTCTCACCACCAGTGTCTCACCACCAGTGTCTCACCACCAGTGTCTCACCACAAGTGTCTCACCACCAGTGTCTCACTACCCAGTGTCTCACCACAAGTGTCTCACCACAAGTGTCTCACCAGCAGTGTCTCACCACCAGTGTCTCACTACCCAGTGTCTCACCAGCAGTGTCTCACTACCCAGTGTCTCACCACCCAGTGTCTCACCACCAGTGTCTCACCACCCAGTGTCTCACTACCCAGTGTCTCACCACCAGTGTCTCACCACCAGTGTCTCACCACAAGTGTCTCACCACCAGTGTCTCACCACCAGTGTCTCACCACCAGTGTCTCACCACCAGTGTCTCACCACCAGTGTCTCACCACCAGTGTCTCACCAGCAGTGTCTCACCACCAGTGTCTCACCAGCAGTGTCTCACCACCAGTGTCTCACCACCAGTGTCTCACCACCAGTGTCTCACCACCAGTGTCTCACCACAAGTGTCTCACCACCAGTGTCTCACCAGCAGTGTCTCACCACCAGTGTCTCACCACAAGTGTCTCACCACCAGTGTCTCACCACAAGTGTCTCACCACCATTGTCTCACCACCAGTGTCTCACCACAAGTGTCTCACTACCAGTGTCTCACCACCAGTGTCTCACCACCAGTGTCTCACCACAAGTGTCTCACCACCAGTGTCTCACCACCAGTGTCTCACCACCAGTGTCTCACCACCAGTGTCTCACCACCCAGTGTCTCACCAGCAGTGTCTCACCACCAGTGTCTCACCACAAGTGTCTCACCACAAGTGTCTCTCCACCAGTGTCTCACCACCATTGTCTCACCACCAGTGTCTCACCACCAGTGTCTCACCACCAGTGTCTCACCAGCAGTGTCTCACTACCAGTGTCTCACCACCAGTGTCTCTCCACCAGTGTCTCACCACCAGTGTCTCACCACCAGTGTCTCACCACCAGTGTCTCACCACCAGTGTCTCACCACCCAGTGTCTCACCACCCAGTGTCTCACCAGCAGTGTCTCACCACCAGTGTCTCACTACCAGTGTCTCACCACAAGTGTCTCACCACCAGTGTCTCACCAGCAGTGTCTCACCACCAGTGTCTCACCAGCAGTGTCTCACCACCAGTGTCTCACCACAAGTGTCTCACCACCAGTGTCTCACCACCAGTGTCTCACCACCCAGTGTCTCACCAGCAGTGTCTCACCACCAGTGTCTCACCACCAGTGTCTCACCAGCAGTGTCTCACCACCAGTGTCTCACCACCAGTGTCTCACCACCAGTGTCTCACCAGCAGTGTCTCACCACCAGTGTCTCACCACCAGTGTCTCACCACCAGTGTCTCACCACCAGTGTCTCACCAGCAGTGTCTCACCACAAGTGTCTCACCAGCAGTGTCTCACCACAAGTGGCTCACCACCAGTGTCTCACCACCAGTGTCTCACCACCAGTGTCTCACCAGCAGTGTCTCACCACAAGTGTCTCACCAGCAGTGTCTCACCACAAGTGGCTCACCACCAGTGTCTCACCAGCAGTGTCTCACCACAAGTGTCTCACCACCAGTGTCTCACCACAAGTGTCTCACTACCAGTGTCTCACCAGCAGTGTCTCACCACAAGTGTCTCACCACCAGTGTCTCACCACCAGTGTCTCACTACCAGTGTCTCACCAGCAGTGTCTCACCACAAGTGTCTCACCACCAGTGTCTCACCACAAGTGTCTCACTACCAGTGTCTCACCACAAGTGTCTCACCAGCAGTGTCTCACCAGCAGTGTCTCACCACAAAGTGTCTCACCACAAAGTGTCTCACCACAAGTGTCTCACCACCAGTGTCTCACCACCAGTGTCTCACCACAAGTGTCTCACCACCAGTGTCTCACCACCAGTGTCTCACCACAAGTGTCTCTCCACCAGTGTCTCACTACCAGTGTCTTACCACCAGTGTCTCACCACCAGTGTCTCACCACCAGTGTCTCACCAGCAGTGTCTCACCAGCAGTGTCTCACCACCAGTGTCTCACCACAAGTGTCTCACCACCAGTGTCTCACCACAAGTGTCTCACTACCAGTGTCTCACCAGCAGTGTCTCACCACAAGTGTCTCACCACCAGTGTCTCACCACCAGTGTCTCACTACCAGTGTCTCACCAGCAGTGTCTCACCACAAGTGTCTCACCACCAGTGTCTCACCACAAGTGTCTCACTACCAGTGTCTCACCACCAGTGTCTCACCACCAGTGTCTCACCACAAGTGTCTCACCACCAGTGTCTCACCACCAGTGTCTCACCAGCAGTGTCTCACCACCAGTGTCTCACCAGCAGTGTCTCACCACAAGTGTCTCACCACCAGTGTCTCACCACAAGTGTCTCACCACAAGTGTCTCACCACCAGTGTCTCACCACCAGTGTCTCACCACCAGTGTCTCACCACCCAGTGTCTCACCACCAGAGTCAGACCAGAAACCAATGCCAAGGGTTAGCGCAGGAACTTGATTCCTTGCAAAATCTATTATCCATTTAGTGTTTGAACATTTGAACACAACTCCTGCTGTCTTATTGCCATAAAGGGTAAAGCCTCGGCACTTCTCTCGCTGTATATTTGTTCCACCTGAGGACCATTGCTTGCGTTGCGATCGAAACGTCGTGATAATTTTATTATTTTTCTATCTACGTGGCTTTACCGGGAGACCCAAAGAATATCAATTCCTGCAGTCACGAACGCTTTAAGTGAACAGGTCACAAAACAATTCTTATTTTTGGTTCTATTGGGTAAAGTCACGTAGGTGAAGATAAAATAACAAAAAATCACGACGTTTCGGCCACAACACAAGCGGCCTTCAGGTGAAGGGACGAGAATGTCTGGAGGACAGACTGTCTGGAGGACAGTCTCGTCCCTTCACCTGATGAAGGCCGCTTGTGTTGTGGCCGAAACGTCGTGATTTTTTGTTATTTTATTTTCACCTACGTGACTTTACCCAATAGAACCAAAGAGTATGGATCCTAGCAGTCACGAAAGCTTTAAATCTAGAATTATTATTTTTTCATACTTTGATAACTGACGTAAAAGGTCCCAGGGAATTGAATGTTTTTTTATTTAACTTTGGTTGACCATAAACTTAACTTTTGTTGGCGGAGAATTCTCGAATCCTCGTGTGATGCCTTTATCCTCATTTATCTTTGCTGCTGTTGCACTTTGCTGCTGCTGCTGCACTTTGCTGCTGCGCTTTGCAGTTGTTCTTTATATTATTATTTTTTGCCACTATTGGAAATGCCAGGTCAGTGACTCTTGCAGAGGGCACTCCGTCCTTGAGGCCTCCAGAAGAGACCGCACCTGGTGAAGCACAATGAGCCTGAACCGCTACTGACGATGATGCAGCTACTGCTGATGATGATGATGCTGCTGATGATGATGCTGATGATGATACAGCTACTGCTGATGATGATGATGCTACTGATGATGCAGCTACTGCTGATGATGCTGCTGATGATGCAGCTGCTACTGCTGATGATGATGCAGCTACTGCTGATGCTGCTGCTGATGATAATGCTGATGATGCAGCTACTGCTGATGATGATGCTGCTGATGATGCTGCTGCTACTGCTGATGCTACTGCTGAGGATGATGATACTGCTGATGATGCAGCTACTGCTGATGATGATGATGCTGCTGATGATGCAGCTACTGCTGCTGATGATGCAGCTACTGCTGATGATGATGATGCTGCTACTGCTGATGATGCTACTGCTGATGATAATGCAGCTGATGATGATGCAGCTGATGATACTGCTGATGATACTGCTGATGTGATGCTGCTGCTACTGCTGATGATGATGCTGCTGATGATGCATATACTGATGCTGCTGCTACTGCTGATGATGATGCTACTGCTAATAATGATGCTGCTGCTACTGCTGATGATGAGGCAGCTGATGATGCATATACTGCTGATGATGATGCTACTGCTGATGATGATGCTGCTGCTGATGATGCTGCTGCTGCTGATGATGCTGCTGCTTCCGCGTGCCGTGTTGATGCCGCGCAGTGGGGAGCCTCGCGGCCTCTGGAGGCCCCGATGTGGACCGCGTCGCCACCCTCCTGGAGAAGACGTGCATACGGTAACGCGGCGGGCGGTGAGACGCGGCCCTGGAGAAGGCTGCTGCTGTCTTTGGTGTAGGCCAATCAGTTGCCAAGGACACTGGCGTCACAGATTCATTGTCATGCAAAGCGACCGTGGGCACGTGAAGAGACCGAGGTTTACGATTACTGAGTAAAACTCCACTATCTACACAATGTACATCATCGACGTGAAATGTAATAACTTACATATCTTGGGAACGGTCGCCAGTCAGTTGTTGTAATTGTCATTTGAATTCAGCAAATCCATGATAGACAGAAGCAGACATCTAAAAAATTGTAGACCACTGTCATACACTACATCATACACTACACTACTACACTACAGTATACACTACACTACTATACACTACACTATACACTACACTACTATACACTACACTATACACTACATTACTATACACTACACTATACACTACTATACACTATACTATACACTACACTATACACTACACCACTATACACTACACCACTATACACTACACTATACTACTATACACTACACTATACACTACACTATACACTACACTATACACTACTATACACTACACTATACAGTATACACACCACTATGCACTATACACTACATTATACACTACACTACTGTACACTACACAGTACACTACACTACTATACACTACACTATACACTACACTACTATACACTACACTACTATACACTACACTATACACTACACTACTATACATTACACTACTATACACTACACTATACACTACACTGTTCACTACACTATACACTACACACTATACACTGCACTACTATACACTACACTACTATACACTACACACTATACACTGCACTACTATACACTACACTACTATACACTACACTACACTATACACTACACACTATACACTGCACTACTATACACTACACTACTATACACTAGACTATACACTACACTACTATACACTACACCACTATACACTACACTATACACTATACTACTATACACTACACTATACACACTACTATACACTACACTGTACACTACACTATACACTACACTACTATACACTACACTACTATACACTACACTACTATACACTACACACTACAACACTACACTACTATACACTACACACTACAACACTACACTACTATACACTACACACTATACACTGCACTACTATACACTACACTATACACTACACTACTATACACTACACTGCTATACACTACACTACTATACACTACACTACTATACACTACACTACTATACACTACTATACACTATACTACTATACACTACACTATACACTACACTACTATACACTATACTACTATACACTACACTACTATACACTACACTATACATTACACTACTATACATTACACTGTACACTACACTATACACTACACTACTATACACTACACCACTATACACTACACTACTATACACTACACACTACACTATACACTACACTGTTCACTACACTATACGCTACACACTATACACTGCACTACTATACACTACACTACTATACACTACACTAATATACACTACTATACACTACACTACTATACACTACACTATACACTGCACTACTATACACTACACTACTATACACTACACTACTATACATTACACTATACACTACACTACTATACACTCTACACTACTATACACTACACTACTATACACTATACTACTATACACTACACTACTATACACTACACTACTATACACTACATTATACACTACTATACTATACACTACTATACTATACACTACACTATACTGCTATACACTACACTACACTGCCATACACTACACTACTATACACTACACTACTATACACTACACACTACACTGCTATACACTATACTACTATACACTACACTGCTATACACTACACCACTATACACTACACTATACACTACTATACACTGCACTATACACTACACTATACACTACACTACTATACACTACACTACTATATACTATACTAATATACACTACACTACTATACACTACACTATAGACTACACTACTACTATACAATACACTACACTACTATACACTACACTATACACTACACCACTATACACTACACTGCTACACTACACCACTATACACTACACTGCTATACACTACACCACTATAAACTACTGTCAGACAGTCTCGTCCCTTCACCTCATGAAGGCCGCTTGTGTTGTGGCCGAAACGTTGTGAGAATATTATTGTGTTATTTTATTTTATCAATTTATTATTTTATTCTCATTCTACGTGGTGACTTTACCGAAAGAACCAAAGAAGATGAATCCTTGCAGTCACGAAAGCTTTAAATAGAAATGTAATTTTACTGTTTATTATTTTATTATTTCCCTTCTACGTGACTTTACCGAAAGAACCAAAGAAGATGTGTGAGCTCCTCACACAATCCAGTCTGGTTAAACCCAGGATGGATCGTAGGCAGGCCAGCCTAAATGTTTCTAACCGGCGAAGATGTTCCATTAGGGGGGTCCACGTTTCGCAAGCGTAGAGAAGGGAGGGAATGACCGTGGCCGAGAAGACCTGAAGCTTAGTGCGGAGCGACAGACCAGGTAGCTTCCACACAGCGTTACGCAACCGATGAAAAGATATTGCCGCTCGACTGATTCGGAGTGAGACTGGAGCCACTATACACTACACTACTATACGTACACTAATTATACACTGATTATACACTACACCACTATACCACTATACAGTCAGAACACATTTCTTTAGAGCTGCTTTATGTGCTTAGTTTGTTGTCCTTCCCCCGCACCTCCGGTGAGCTACGGTCGACTCCGTAAGGCGGTACCGGTCCCAGCGTACGCACAGACGAAGAGTGGAGTTTCTGAACGCTCACCCCACTCAGCACCCACGGCTGTCCACCGCAGCAGCATAACGGATAGGGGCACGTGTGGTGGGGATGGTGGGGTAAAGTGTGGGTAAGTTCCGCATCTTCCAAGACCTTCCGGTCGGCGTTGCAAGTGGGAGCGATTTTTATGCCACTCGCTGCAGAGCCAGTCGTGGGCGTTCCACGTTCCTATGGCCGGGACCGAGTCTATCCGTGGGACAACCAGTGGGCTCATTGTATTGACGCTGGAGGGATGACGTTGAGTTGTCGATGGTGAGGGTGGTGAGTGCAGTCTGTGGTGAGTGATGCTGTGTGTAGTCTATGGTGAGTGATGCTGTGTGTAGTTTGTGGTGAGTGGTGCTGTGTGTAGTCTATGGTGAGTGATGCTGTGTGTAGTCTATGGTGAGTGGTGATTAGTGATGCTGTGTGTAGTCTATGGTGAGTGGTGATTAGTGATGCTGTGTGTAGTCTATGGTGAGTGGTGCTGTGTGTAGTCTATGGTGAGTGATGCTGTGTGTAGTCTATGGTGAGTGGTGCTGTGTGTAGTCTATGGTGAGAGTGTTGAGTGGTGCTGTGTGTAGTCTATGGTGAGTGATGCTGTGTGTAGTCTATGGTGAGTGATGCTGTGTGTAGTCTATGGTGAGTGATGCTGTGTGTAGTCTATGGTGAGTGATGCTGTGTGTAGTCTATGGTGAGTGGTGATTAGTGATGCTGTGTGTAGTCTATGGTGAGTGATGCTGTGTGTAGTCTATGGTGAGTGATGCTGTGTGTAGTCTATGGTGAGTGATGCTGTGTGTAGTCTATGGTGAGTGATGCTGTGTGTAGTCTATGGTGAGTGATGCTGTGTGTAGTCTATGGTGAGTGATGCTGCGTGTAGTCTATGGTGAGTGATGCTGCGTGTAGTCTATGGTGAGTGATGCTGTGTGTAGTCTATGGTGAGTGATGCTGTGTGTAGTCTATGGTGAGTGGTGCTGTGTGTAGTCTATGGTGAGTGGTGCTGTGTGTAGTCTATGGTGAGTGATGCTGTGTGTAGTCTATGGTGAGTGGTGCTGTGTGTAGTCTATGGTGAGTGGTGCTGTGTGCAGTCTATGGTGAGTGGTGCTGTGTGTAGTCTATGGTGAGTGATGCTGTGTGTAGTCTATGGTGAGAGTGGTGAGTGATGCTGTGTGTAGTCTATGGTGAGTGGTGCTGTGTGTAGTCTATGGTGAGTGGTGATTAGTGGTGCTGTGTGTAGTTTATGGTGAGTGGTGATTAGTGATGCTGTGTGTAGTCTATGGTGAGTGGTGCTGTGTGTAGTCTATGGTGAGTGGTGCTGTGTGTAGTCTATGGTGAGTGGTGATTAGTGGTGCTGTGTGTAGTCTATGGTGAGTGGTGATTAGTGATGCTGTGTGTAGTCTATGGTGAGTGGTGCTGTGTGTAGTCTATGGTGAGTGGTGATTAGTGGTGCTGTGTGTAGTCTATGGTGAGTGGTGATTAGTGATGCTGTGTGTAGTCTATGGTGAGTGGTGCTGTGTGTAGTCTGTGGTGAGTGGTGATTAGTGATGCTGTGTGCAGTCTATGGTGAGTGGTGCTGTGTGTAGTCTATGGTGAGTGGTGCTGTGTGTAGTCTATGGTGAGTGATGCTGTGTGTAGTCTATGGTGAGTGATGCTGTGTGTAGTCTATGGTGAGAGTGGTGAGTGGTGCTGTGTGTAGTCTATGGTGAGTGGTGCTGTGTGTAGTCTGTGGTGAGTGGTGATTAGTGATGCTGTGTGTAGTCTATGGTGAGTGATGCTGTGTGTAGTCTATGGTGAGTGGTGCTGTGTGTAGTCTATGATGAGTGATGCTGTGTGTAGTCTGTGGTGAGTGGTGATTAGTGATGCTGTGTGTAGTCTATGGTGAGTGGTGCTGTGTGTAGTCTATGGTGAGAGTGGTGAGTGATGCTGTGTGTAGTCTATGGTGAGTGGTGCTGTGTGTAGTCTATGGTGAGTGGTGATTAGTGATGCTGTGTGTAGTCTATGGTGAGTGGTGCTGTGTGTAGTCTGTGGTGAGTGGTGATTAGTGATGCTGTGTGTAGTCTATGGTGAGTGATGCTGTGTGTAGTCTATGGTGAGTGGTGCTGTGTGTAGTCTATGGTGAGTGGTGCTGTGTGTAGTCTATGGTGAGTGGTGATTAGTGATGCTGTGTGTAGTCTATGGTGAGTGGTGCTGTGTGTAGTCTATGGTGAGTGATGCTGTGTGTAGTCTATGGTGAGTGGTGCTGTGTGTAGTCTATGGTGAGTGGTGCTGTGTGTAGTCTATGGTGAGTGATGCTGTGTGTAGACTATGGTGAGTGATGCTGTGTGTAGTCTATGGTGAGTGGTGCTGTGTGTAGTCTATGGTGAGAGTGGTGAGTGGTGCTGTGTGTAGTCTATGGTGAGTGGTGACTAGTGATGCTGTGTGTAGTCTATGGTGAGTGGTGCTGTGTGTAGTCTATGGTGAGTGATGCTGTGTGTAGTCTATGGTGAGTGGTGATTAGTGATGCTGTGTGTAGTCTATGGTGAGTGATGCTGTGTTTAGTCTATGGTGAGTGGTGATTAGTGATGCTGTGTGTAGTCTATGGTGAGTGGTGCTGTGTGTAGTCTATGGTGAGTGGTGATTAGTGGTGCTGTGTGTAGTCTATGGTGAGTGGTGCTGTGTGTAGTCTATGGTGAGTGGTGATTAGTGATGCTGTGTGTTGTGCCCTCCAGCATTCGCGACCTGCAGGGAGAGCTTCAGCGCTTGAGGGCAGAGCTGAGAAGGTCGGAGACCAGAGCCGCTGACCTTGACTCCCAGGTTCGCCTCGACTCCCAGTCCATTTTGCCCTCACAACGACGGAGGTCCCCAGGGTGGCCCGGGGCAAGAGCTGTGAGCGGGCGGCACCGTTGAAGGCCGGAACGGCACACGAGGGGGAGGGTGGCCAGCACCACACCCGGCCGCCTTTGTCTCCCCCGGTGGCGATGCGCCGGGTACTAATTTGAGGCTGAGTCGACCTAGGGGAGACCCAGGACTGGGTTTGTAGCGCTAACCGCTGATGAAGGCTGGAACGGCGGCAGCTGTGGGAGGGGGGGGGGAGGTGTGTGCCGTGGCCGAGCGCCACCTCTGCCCGGCCGCCTTTGTCTCCCCCAGCGTCAACGCGTTTTGCACCCTTGCAGCAGGAACTCACCTGTGAGGCCGAGTCATCCGAGGGGAGGCCGAGGTCGGTTCGGGAATCCGCTGTCACTGTGTACAAGGGACAGCAGCAAGGAAGCAGCCCCAGGCCACGCCAATACAATTTGACATGAAAGAGAAAGGTGGTGATGGAGACTCCATGTTAACCACAATCGTGACGACGGAGATCATTTTGATGGCTAGGGTTGGTAGTGGTGATGTGGGTTGGCCATGATGATGAAGATGACTACGATGACAAATGACGATGAATACATTAATGACCGTGAAGACGATGATGATTAGGACAATGACGATGATGATGACGACGATGATGACGACGATGATGACTACGGTAATAACGATGATGACGACGGTGATGATGACGATGCTAGATTTAAAGCGTTCGTGACTGCTAGGATCCATACTCTTTGGTTCTATTGGGTAAAGTCACGTAGGTGAAAATAAAATAACAATAATCACGACGTTTCGGCCACAACACAAGCGGCCTTCATCAGGTGAAGGGACGAGACTGTCCTCCAGACAGTCTGTCCTCCAGACATTCTCGTCCCTTCACCTGATGAAGGCCGCTTGTGTTGTGGCCGAAACGTCGTGATTTTTTGTTATTTTATTTTCACCTACGTGACTTTACCCAATAGAACCAAAGAGTATGATGACGACGATGATGACTACGGTAATAACGACGATGACGACGGTGATGACGACGATGATGACTGCGGTAATAACGACGATGACGACGGTGATGATGACAATGGTGACTACGGTAATAACGACGATGACGACGGTGATGACGACGATGATGACTGCGGTAATAACAACGATGACGACGATGATGACGACGATGATGACGACGATGATGACAACGATGATGACTACGGTAATAACGACGATGATGACGACGATGATGACGACGATGATGACTGCGGTAATAACGATGATGACGACGGTGATAATGACGACGATGATGACTACGGTAATAACGACGATGACGACGGTGATGATGACAATGATCACTACGGTAATAACGATGATGACGACGGTGGTGATGACGGCGATGGTTACGACGACAACGCCGCCAGGTGCGATTCCTGACGGTGGCCAAGGAGGAGGCATCGTCGCGCTGCGAGGCCGACCTCCGGGAGCGAACCGCGGCGCTGCGACGAAGCGAAGCCTGCGCTCGTCAGCAGGCCGAGAAGCTCGCCGCTCACGTGGAGGTGAGGCCCCCGGCCCCTTGCCTGGCCCCTTGCCCGGGGGCAGCTGCCGGCACGCAGCGGGCGTGCGACCAACGGACTCGACCACTTCTGGCGTGAGAAGGGCCCCCGCCACTGCGCTGGGGCGAACGACAGCAGCTCGACCAGGTGGCCGTCATCATCATCATCATCATCTAACCTCGCAGTGCACCTATAGCCACCTCGACCCTATAGGTCAGCCCTATAGCCCTAACCCTGTAGTGCACGGGTCCCCGACCCCCGGGCCGCGGACCGGAACCGGTCCTTGGCCTGTTAGGAACCGGGCCGCACAGCAGGAGGTGAGGGCGGTGAGTCTGCGCGTGGCCCGCCCGTGATTTTATTTACCACTTCCGTCCGCGCCTCTTTCCCGCACTGTGCCCTTGTCTCAGTCAAGTGGTATTGGTAAGCCCACAAGCTCTAACCCCTAGTAGCCACAATGAGTAAGCCCACAAGCTCTAACCCCTAGTAGCCACAATGAGTAAGCCCACAAGCTCTAACCCCTAGTAGCCACAATGAGTAAGCCCACAAGCTCTAACCCCTAGTAATCACATTTAGTAAGCCCACAAGCTCTAACCCCTAGTAGCCACAATGAGTAAGCCCACAAGCTCTAACCCCTAGTAGCCACAATGAGTAAGCCCACAAGCTCTAACCCCTAGTAGCCACAATGAGTAAGCCCACAAGCTCTAACCCCTAGTAGCCACAATGAGTAAGCCCACAAGCTCTAACCCCTAGTAGCCACAATGAGTAAGCCCACAAGCTCTAACCCCTAGTAGCCACAATGAGTAAGCCCACAAGCTCTAACCCCTAGTAGCCACTATGAGTAAGCCCACAAGCTCTAACCCTAGTAGCCACAATAAGCAAGCCCACAAGCTCTAACCCCTAGTAGCCACAATGAGTAAGCCCACAAGCTCTAACCCCTAGTAGCCACAATGAGTAAGCCCACAAGCTCTAACCCCTAGTAGCCACAATGAGTAAGCCCACAAGCTCTAACCCCTAGTAATCACATTTAGTAAGCCCACAATCTCTAACCCCTAGTAGCCACAATGAGTAAGCCCACAAGCTCTAACCCCTAGTAGCCACAATGAGTAAGCCCACAAGCTCTAACCCCTAGTAGCCACAATGAGTAAGCCCACAAGCTCTAACCCCTAGTAGCCACAATGAGTAAGCCCACAAGCTCTAACCCCTAGTAGCCACAATGAGTAAGCCCACAAGCTCTAACCCCTAGTAGCCACAATGAGTAAGCCCACAAGCTCTAACCCCTAGTAGCCACTATGAGTAAGCCCACAAGCTCTAACCCTAGTAGCCACAATAAGCAAGCCCACAAGCTCTAACCCCTAGTAGCCACAATGAGTAAGCCCACAAGCTCTAACCCCTAGTAGCCACAATGAGTAAGCCCACAAGCTCTAATCCCTAGTAGCCACAATGAGTAAGCCCACAAGCTCTAACCCCTAGTAATCACAATGAGTAAGCCCACAAGCTCTAACCCCTAGTAGCCACAATGAGTAAGCCCACAAGCTCTAACCCCTAGTAGCCACAAGGAGTAATAAACAAACGTTGCTGGAGAGCTTCTTTGAAAAGGGAGAAAGACCCAATGATGACTCTCCTCCCCGCCCATGAAAAAAATGTCTTCCACGAAACCGGTCCCTGGTGCCAAAAAGGTTGGGGACCGCTGCTGTAGTGCACCTATAGCCACCTCGACCCTATAGCGATGGACCCTATAGCCCTAACCCTGTAGTGCACCTATAGCCACCTCGACCCTATAGCGATGGACCCTATAGCCCTAACCCTGTAGTGCACCTATAGCCATCGTCATCATCATCATCATCGCGTGGGAATTCATAGCAGCAGGCAACTACTCTGAGCGCGTGGTGATGTTGATTCTAAACGCGGAGGGAAAATCCGGCGGAGGAGCCGGAGACAAATCCACGCAGGGACCACCACGGGGAGAGAGACGCAGACTCCAAATATACAGCAGCAGCAGCAGGCATCGTCAGGGTTGGGGTCGAATCTACGACCTCCTGTACACCAGGCGAGGTAGTCAACATCTCCTAGCCTCCATGATGATGAGAGAGAGAGAGAGATTCAGACTTCAAATATACAGCAGCAAGCATCGTCAGGGCCCGGAATCGAACCCAGGACCTCCTGTGTACCAGACGAGGTAGTTAACATCTCCTAGCCACCGTGATCATGATGAGAGAGGGAGACACAGACTCCAAATATACCGCAGCAGCAGGCATCATCATGTTTGGCATTGAACCCACGACCTCCTGTGTACCAGGCGAAGTAGTTAACATCTCCTAGCCACCGTGATGATGACGAGAGAGAAAGATGCAGACTCCAAATATACAGCAGCGGCAGGCATCATCAGGGTTGGGGTCGAATCTACGACCTCCTGTACACCAGGAGAGGTAGTTAACATCTCCTAGCCACCGTGATGATGAGAGAGCGAGACGCAGACTCCAAATGTACAGCAGCAGGCATCGTCAGGGTGAGGCTGGAACCCACGACCTCCTGTATACGAAGTGAGATAAGTAAACATCTCCTAGCCACCGCATACGTATGTTCAACTTCTTTCGCAGCGTCCATAGCCAACCGAAGCTACGTTGGCTACGTACGGCGGTGCAACAGAAGCTCTACAAACACACACACACGGCAACAAACTAAACACAAAAAAAGCAGCAAATTGGGTTATCAATTTTAGATTCGAAAGTGCACAGCAGTATACAATTATGTCTGTCGCCTGATGAAGCTGGTTGCAATGACTGGCGAAACGTCGTTCTCAGATTGTAAATGTCGTTTCTTGGCTCTCCAACACACTACCAGTTAGTGCTCTACTCGTAACGAATTGGCAATGCTCTGTTTACGTAACACGGCACTTTACTAATTGGCCATGTCGGGCGGTGGCAGGATTAACGACACAATATTCACGCGATCTTACCCAACGAAACCTGCATTATGGAGTATGCCTGGGTTCAACCACAGGTTGGTCTTTCATTCTTCCAGGTGTTAGTGCGACTCGCGCTATTTGTTATTTGCCAGGCAAGGCCCACCGAGCCCGCTGCGGCGCTTGTTCAGAGTCGACCTGGCTCCCACCGCGTGGTGACGGTAGTTCATCGTCGATCATGGCTGATACTGCCGCCACCGCCGCCACCACCACCACCACCACCACCACACGTGGGGATCATTTGTAGTAGCAGCAGCTACTGCTATAAATGATCGAACCCAGGGCCTCCTGCGTATCGGGGGGTGGGGTAAAGCGGTGGGCACTGCGGCCTCCTCAAAGGCACGTGGCGACCGTTGGAAGAGAGCGCACGGGTCCGGAGCTCGCTCCACGGAGTTGTCTCCGGCGAGCGAGCTATCGCAGGGCTGTGCAAATCGTCATCAACGTCGCCCTTTGCCCCCAGACTCTGAAGGGAGAGCTGCTGGAGTCCAAGGAGCAGAACGAGACGCTTCGGATGAGGATGCAGGACTTTGTCACCGAAATCTCGCATGTGGAAGGCATGCTGGGCGTGCGGGTGAGTGGGTGGGTGAGTGGGTTAGTGGGTGAGCGAGTGGGCTAGTGAATGGGTGCGTGAGCGAGTGGGTGCGTGAATGAGTGAGTGAGTGAGCGAGTGGGTGCGTGAGCGAGTGGGTGCGTGAGCGAGTGGCCTAGTGAGTTGGCGAGCGAGTGGGCGAGCGAGTGGGTGCGTGAGCGAGTGAGTGAGCGAGTGGGTCAGTGAGTGGGCGAGTGGGTCAGTGAGTGAGCGAGTGCGCGAGAGAGAGTGGGTGAGCGAGTGGGTGGGCGAGTGAGCGGGTAAGTAAGTGGGCGAGTGAGCGAGTGGGTTAGTGAAGTAGTGGGTGAGCGAGTGGGCTAGTGAGTTGGCGAGCGAGTGGGCGAGCGAGTGGGTGCGTGAGCGAGTGGGTGCGTGAGCGAGTGGGCGAGCGAGTGGGTGCGTGAGCGAGTGGGTGCGTGAGCGAGTGAGTGAGCGAGTGGGTCAGTGAGTGGGCGAGTGGGTCAGTGAGTGAGCGAGTGCGCGAGAGAGAGTGAGCGAGCGAGTGGGCGAGCGAGTGGGTGGGCGAGTGAGCGGGTAAGTAAGTGGGCGAGTGAGCGAGTGGGTTAGTGAAGTAGTGAGTGAGCGAGTGGGTTAGTGAGTGGGCGAGTGAGTGAGTGAGTGGGCGAGTAGGTGATCGAGTGGGTGAGTGAGTGAGCGAGTGGGCGGGTGAGCGAGTGGGCAGAGCGTGAGTGAGTGAGTGATAGAGTGAGTGAGTGGGCGAGTCGGTCAGTGAGTGTGTGCAAGTGAGTGGGCGAGAGAGTGGGTGAGTGAGTGGGTGAACGAGTGGGTGAGTGAATGACCGAGTGGGTGAGCGAGTGGGCAGGCGAGTGGGTGGGCGAGTGAACGGGTGGGTGAGCGAGTGGGTAAGTGAGCAAGTGGGCGCGTGAGTGAGCGAGTGGACAAGTGAGTGGGTGAGCGAGTGGGTGGGCGAGTGAGCGGGTGGGTGAGCGAGTGGGTAAGTGAGCGAGTGGGCGCGTGAGTGAGTGAATGAGTGAGCGAGTGGATGAGTGAATGACCGAGTGGGTGAGTGGGCGAGTGAGTGAGTGGGTGAGTGAGTGAGTGAGCGAGTGGATAAGTGAATGACCGAGTGGGTGAGTGGGCGAGTGAGTGAGTGGGCGAGCGAGTGAACAAGTGAGTGAGTGAGCGAATGGGTGAGTGAGTGAGTGAGCGAATGGGTGAGTGAATGACCGAGTAGGTGAGTGAGCGAGTGGGTGAGTGAGTGAGTGAGCGAATGGGTGAGTGAATGACCGAGTAGGTGAGTGGGCGAGCGAGTGGGTGAGTGGGCGGGCGAGTGCGTGGGCGAGTGAGCCCGTGGGTGAGCGAGTGAGTGTGCGAGCGAGTGGGCACATGAGTGAACGAGTGGGCGAGCGGGTGGGCGAGTGCGTGGGCTAGCGAGTAGGTGGGCGAGTGGGTGAGCGAATGGGTGAGTGAGTGAGTGAGCAAGTGGATGAATGAATGACCGAGTGGGTGAGTAGGCGAGTGAGTGAGTGGGTGAGTGCGTGAGTGAGTGAGTGGGCGAGCGAGTGGACAAGTGAGTGAGTGAGTGGATGGGTGAGTGAGTGAGTGAGTGCGCGAGTGGGTGAGTGAATGACCGAGTGGGTGAGTGGGCAAGCGAGTGGGCGGGCGAGTGGGTTAGTGAGTGAGCGAGTGGGCGAGCGAGTGGACAAGTGAGTGAGTGAGCGAATGGGTGAGTGAGTGAGTGAATGACCGAGTGGGTGAGTGGGCAAGCGGGTGGGCGGGCGAGTGGGTTAGTGAGTGGGCGAGTGTGGGAGAGCGAGTGGACAAGTGAGTGAGTGAGCGAATGGGTGAGTGAGTGAGTGAGCGAGTGGGTGAGTGAATGACCGAGTGGGTGAGTGGGCGGGCTAGTGGGTGGGCGAGTGAGCCCGTGGGTGAGCGAGTGGGTAAGCGAGTGAGTGGGCGAGCGAGTGGGTGAGCGAGCGGGTGGGCGAGTGCGTAGGTGAGTGAGTAGGTGGGCGAGTAGGTGGGCGAGTGAGCGAGTGAGTGGGTGGGCAAATGAGTGAGTGGGCGAGTAGCTGGGTGAGTGGGTGAGTGAGTGAGTGGGCGAGTGAGTGAGTGAGCGAGCGAGTGAGTGAGTGAGCGAGTGGGTGAGTGAATGACCGAGTGGGTGAGTGGGCGAGCGAGTGGGTGGGCGAGTGAGCGGGTGGGTGAGCGAGTGGGTAAGTGAGTGAGTGGGCGAGCGAGTGAGCGAGTGGGTGCGTGAGTGAGCGAGTGGGTTAGTGAGTGAGCAAGTGGGTGAGCGAGTGGGCGAGCGGGTGGGCGAGTGAGCGAGCGAGTGGGTGAGTGCGTGGGCGAGCGAGTGGGCGGGCGAGTAGGTGAGCGAGTAGGTGGGCGAGTGAGCGAGTGAGTGGGTGGGCAAGTGAGCGAGTGAGTGAGCGAGTGGGTTAGTGAGTGAGCAAGTGGGCGAGTGAGTGAGCTAGTGGGCAAGTGGTTGGACGAGTGGGCGAGTCAGTGGCTGGGTGGGTTAGCAAGTGAGTGAGCAAGTGGGTGAGTGAGTGGGCGAGTGAGTGGGCGAGTGAGTGGGCGCGTGGGTGAGCAAGTGGGCGAGCGGGTGAGCGGGTGAGCGAGCGGGTGGGCGGGTGGGTGAGCGGGTGAGCGAGCGGGTGAGCGAGCGGGTGAGCGGGCGAGCGAGCGGGTGAGCGAGCGGGCGAGTGAGCGGTGGAGCGAGTGGGTGAGCGAGTGAGCGAGTGGGTGTAGTAGGTAAACGAGTGGGTGAGCGGATGGGCGAGTAGGCGAGCAAGTGGGTGAGTGAGTGGGCGAGTGAGTGGGCGCGTGGGTGAGCAAGTGGGCGAGCGGGTGAGCGGGTGGGTGAGCAAGTGAGCGAGTGGGTTAGTAGGTAAACGAGTGGGTGAGCGGATGGGCGAGTAGGCGAGCAAGTGGGCGAGCGAATGGGCTAGTAAAGGGCGAGCTTGTGGGTGAGCGGGTGAGCGAGCAAGCTGGTGGGCAGGCGAGCGAGCACGCGAGTGGGCGAGTGAGCGAGTGAGTGACCAAAATCCTCACGCTGTCTTTTCAGGAGGAAGAGCACTCCCACCTGCTGGCTTGTTACGGCGATGCCACCTTTCCAGACTCGCTACTGACCAACGTTTAGCCGTCGAAGGTCTCCAACGTGACACGATTTCGGCTCGCGCCGCGTTACGTCGTGCTAGACATCGTCCCACGGGGAATTCACCACGGTTCATTTTGGTTGCCATTAGAGAATTCACCACATTTCGTTTTCGTTGCCATGGAGAATTCACCACAGATCATTTTGGTTGCCATTGGAGAATTCACCACAGATCATTTTGGTTGCCATTGGAGAATTCACCACAGTTCGTTTTGGTTGCCATTGGAGAATTCACCACAGATCATTTTGGTTGCCATTGGAGTATTCACCACAGTTCGTTTTGGTTGCCATTGGAGAATTCACCAGAGTTCGTTTTGGTTGCCATTGGAGAATTCACCACGGTTTGTTTTGGTTGCCATTGGAGAATTCACCACAGTTCGTTTTGGTTGCCATTGGAGAATTCACCACAGTTCGTTTTGGTTGCCATTGGAGAATTCACCACGGTTTGTTTTGGTTGCCATTGGAGAATTCACCGCAGATCATTTTGGTTGCCATTGGAGAATTCACCACGGTTTGTTTTGGTTGCCATTGGAGAATTCACCACGGATCGTTTCAGGCAGAGGAACCCCATTGCAAGCGTTGCACAAACATCAAATTCCCGGTGGCCATTGTAACGAACCAACTAAGAACGGAACGTGAGCTTGAAGTGTCACCTTCTGAGGCCAGTTCTTCAGATTGGAGTCTTGAGTGCGGGCCTCGGGACCAGAGTCTTAATTGAGAGCCAGATTCACGGTCTGGACCGGTGCTCTCCACCAAAGGCCACCGGCGGGGTCCCCCCCCCCCCCCCCTACCCAGTGGTCGCCCCCGCGGTTGCCTTACGGTGAGGAGCACCGCCGTCGATTGTGGCTCGGGTCTTGGAACGTGATTTAAGATGGCGCGCTATGTGGTGGTGGCGGCGGTGGTGGTGGCGGTGGCGGCGGTGGTGGTGGCGGTGGCGGTGGCGGTGGTGGCGGTGGTGGCGGCGGCGGTGGTGGCGGCGGTGGTGGTGGTGGTGGTGGTGGTGGCGGCGGTGGTGGTGGCGGTGGTGGCGGTGGTGGTGGCGGCGGTGGTGGCGGTGGCGGTGGTGGTGGCGGTGGTGGTGGCGGTGGTGGTGGCGGTGGTGGTGGCGGCGGTGGTGGTGGCGGTGGCGGCGGTGGTGGTGGCGGTGGCGGTGGCGGTGGTGGCGGTGGTGGTGGTGGTGGTGCGTGTCGATAAGGGGGTGGGCCACGTCTGGTGGCGCACTGCAACGCCGCGCCAGCTGCTACCACGCCAACGGTTGTTCACGGAGACGCGTCGTGGCGTTTCCGCTGCTTCCCGAGTGGATATTTTTTTTGCTTGTTTGCAGACTGCTTTGAGATTTAAAATCGATTGCTGTAAAAGCGGGTGAATGCGTTTGAAAGAATTGCCGATTCTTTGAATAAACAAAAAGTGCGCTGTGATTTGCAATGTCGTTGATTTCCTGATCGCAGTTTTCGTTTTACCGTCGCAAACCCGGTGGGACTGAACAGAACTAAAAGTCGATTGTGGATCTTACCTCCTCGGAAGCGCCTTGGCCCGAAACGTCGCCTCTTGTTACGTCTTTCCTTTGAAGGCCACACAAAGACAAAGGTCCCCCGTATATCCTGTAACAGACTGTAGGGGCAAGTGCTGCCAGCAAGCACCTATGGAGGCCGGCACCGTGGCACACGAGGGGGTGGGTTGCCAGCACCGCGCCCGGCCGCCTTTGTCTCCCCGGTGGCGATGATTTTACGCACCGCACCGGGTCGACTGTGTGCTGCGTGCGTGCTGAGATCTCGAGTCGATCATTCGGCGGGCGCCGGATTTGTAGAAACGGATGATCGCCAAATCATTGCACATTATTGTATGACGTTCATTGCTTTTTGATGCGTTACGTGTCATTTTTGTTCAGCGTTCTTAAACGTGCGCTATTTTCTTTAAACCTATCTACGCGACTCCACCGAAAGACCCAAAGAACAAAGGATATGTGTGTGGATACTCTTGTATTCTTTCGGTAAAGTCACGTAGGTAGAAATAATAGTCGTTTCGATCGCAACAGCAAGCGATCGTCTTCAGGTGAGAGAATCAGGCTGTAGGGCATCTCTCGCAATCGCTGGCCCCCATCCTCTTGCCCGATGCGGCCACCGCCCCATCCCTCCCTCCCTCCCGGGTCAATATAATGCCTCGTCCACAGCAGTCTGATTCTCTCACCTGAAGACGATCTTTTGTTTTTTTCTACCAAAGTGACTTTACCGAAAGAATCAAAGAGTATGGATCCATACTCTTTGGTTCTATTCGGTAAAGTCACCACGTAGGTAAAAAGTAAAACAACAAAAATCACGACGTTTCGGCCACAACACAAGCGGCCTTCATCAGGTGAAGGGATCAGGCTGTCTCGAGCACAGCGCTGGAGTGAAACAGCCACGCTCAGACCGCGACCTTTAAGCTGTGTGCGAGGAAACTAGGTGCCTTGACAAAGGAATTAGCATAAAAAATTGCATTTGATTGGCCGACTTAGCACATGCCGTTTGGCGCGGGGGGGGGGAGTTTACCTATTGATGGTGTGAAAAGGGAATTTTTAAGAGCTGCGAAAGTTTGGGGTAGCTCTTAAAAATTCCCTTTTCACACCGTCAATAGGTAAACTCCCCTTCGCCCCCCCGCGCCAACCGGCAAGTCCACCCGCACGTACACCACCTCTATGCTAAGTCGGCCAATCAAATGCTAATTTTTATGCTAATTCCTTTGTCAAGGCACCTTGTTTCCTCGCACACAGCTTAAAGGTCGCGGTCTGAGCGTGGCTGTGTTTCACTCCAGCGCTGTCCTCGAGACAGCCTGATCCCTTCACCTGATGAAGGCCGCTTGTGTTGTGGCCGAAACGTCGTGGTTTTTGTTGTTTAATTTTTTACCTACGTGACTTTACCGAATAGAACCAAAGAGTATGGATCCTTGCAGTCACGAAAGCTTCAAATCTAGAATTGAGTATGGATTCCTTAGGTCACGAAAGCTTCAAATCAACGTGTGTACTGTGTGACATTGGCATAAATCAACACAAATGGACAACAAAAAAGAAATATCCCGCTTTAAAAGAGTTGCTGTGTTTACTGTACCCTTACCACGCCAATCTCGACGACGACTCCTCATCACGGGGGTGATGCAAGGCTGTAATTGTAATATATATTGGTGGGGGGGGGACACATCAATGTTCAAAATGTCCCCCCAAATATGTTGCTGTAAAATAGATTTCTGTTTATATGATTGTGATTATGGTTGTATTAATCCCTAATCTCTGCCCATTACATACAACGAAACAAGAAAATGTAAAAAAAGAAAACACAGCAATGTAATACAATACATATTAGACATTGTTAATAATAAATAAAATTCAATCCCATGTGTTAGTGAACTTTTTTTTATATTTTAGGCAGGAAATGGCAGGAAATTCGTTTTCAAATTTAGATTTTGTTTTCTGGGGGGGGGGACCCCAAGACCCCCTGGAAGATTTGGGCCCCCCCACCAATGTTGACTCCATGGCTACGGCCTTGGGGTGATGTGTATCTACGTGCAGTATTTTCATCGTTGGAAGTTGAATGTATGTAGTGGAGAATGTACCCTGTATAATATTTGACGCTGAAATCGAGCTTAGCTCCTCCACGCACACGGTGGCTGGGATCGCGGGACCTGGTCACAGCCTTTGCAGCGGATTTGCCGGATCCGCCCGGGATCGCCGGATAATGTTGGAAGTGGCAGCCGGATAATCGACGGTGATCGACCGTATTCTGGGACGGGAACACGCGGATTAGAGAACACAGGTTAGAGACATCATCATCATCATCCACAAGTGGATAGACCTTGGTGGTGACGTCGGCAGGCACACTGCGTGACGCTGCCGCATGCGGGTGACATCACAGATGTGATGTCACCGCTCATTTGCCGTACAAAATATATCCATTATTGCGCGCCCCCCGCCCCCACCAAAATACAAAAGTCTATTTTTATAATTGTTGCATGGTGTACAGTCTGGAAGCTACCCACATGGCAAATTTCAAGTTTGTTGCATGTCGGGAAGTACGCTAAACATTTAGAACAGGCGCGCATTGACAAATTTCCCTTATATATGTTGATAAACATAGTGAATAGTTTAAACTATAAACACTCAATTGTAGATTTAAAGCTTTCGTGACTGCAAGGATCCATACTCTTTGGTTCTATTGGGTAAAGTCACGTAGGTAAAACATAAAATAACAAAAATCGTGATTTTTCCCATGTGTTAGTGAACTTTTTTAATATTTTAGGCAGGAAATAATAAAAATCGTGATTTTTGTTATTTTATTTTTTACCTACGTGACTTTACCCAATAGAACCAAAGAGTATAAACGCTCAACTGTAAACTATGCATATAGTTTCGTGACTACGTCACTATACACATCGTCAGGGACTTGGGGACTTGTGACCTAGCAGTGGATAGAACCCGGCTAGGTGGTGGTGATTGTCCACGTGGTACCCACGTGGTTCTGGGGGCCAGGGGGGCGTCTCAGACCTGAAAGGGGAGGGGCGGGAGAGAGTGGGTTTGATGACGTCATGTAACTTTTTAATGGGTTCGGGGGGCTCAGACCTTAAGGGGGGCGGGAGCGTGTTGAGGTCGCATGACGTCACATGCCCTGTTATGGGCCGGAGGGGGTGACTTGATGGAGGTGAGGTAGAGGCGTGATGACGTCACACGTCCTTTTATGGCGAGGGGGGACGGTGGAGGTGATTGGGGAGGTGGGGGAGGGGGTGGGGCGGGGTGGGGTAGGTGAGGGAATAGGGGGCGGTCTGTTAGAGGGGGCGGGGCGGTGTGGAAGAGGGGGCGGGGCGGTGTGGAAGAGGGGGTGGGGCGGTGTGTTAGAGGGGGCGGGGCGTAGTGGGAGAGGGGGCGGGGCCTATGGTGGTGGTGGGGGTGGCGAGGATTTTGTTTTTACCTCACAACCCCGCGGCGTTCGTCCGCTCGCGCGCTCCTTCCTCACGCCGGGGGTGAGTTCACAATCATAAACTTTGTGTTTATAATCATGCTGCGTGTTAAACTACTCTGATCATAAACTTTGTGTTTATAATCATGCTGCATGTTAAACTGCTCTGATGATAAACTTTGTGTTTATAATCATGCTGCGTGTTAAACTACTCTGATGATAAACTTTGTGTTTATAATCATGCTGCGTGTTAAACTACTCTGATGATAAACTTTGTGTTTATAATCATGCTGCGTGTTAAACTACTCTGATGATAAACTTTGTGTTTATAATCATGCTGCGTGTTAAACTACTCTGATGATAAACTCTGTGTTTATAATCATGCTGCGTGTTAAACTACTCTGATGATAAACTCTGTGTTTAGAATCATGCTGCGTGTAAAACTACTCTGATGATAAACTTTGTGTTTATAATCATGCTGCGTGTTAAACTACTCTGATGATAAACTTTGTGTTTATAATCATGCTGCGTGTTAAACTACTCTGATCATAAACTCTGTGTTTATAATCATGCTGCGTGTTAAACTACTCTGATGATGAACTCTGTGTTTATAATATAGTAGTTTAACACAGAGTAGCAGCAGTAGTAACGTTGTGTTAATAATCATAGTAGTTTAACACGCAGCAGTATAAACTTTGTTTATAACCATAGTGGTTTAACACGCAACAGTAGCAGCAGTATAAACTTTGTGTAGTTTAACATAGAGCAGTGAGAGCTTTCGCCACCAATATTATCGATAATAAGCGATAATCTATTTGTGTGTGTCTGGGTTAGATCGCGTATCAATATAAATGTCTTTAAAACCGCCGCCACCCGACACAGCCAATTTAGTAAGCTAAGTTACTTTGTTAAGTTTAACTTAGTTAAGTTTAACTTAGTTAAGCACTAACCGTCTGTTGTTGTTGAGTGTTAGAGAG